AATATTATTATATTAGACACATGATCAAATGCAAAAGTTGCTTAATGTTATATCATAGAAAGTGCGAAAGTGTTCCAGACTCTATTTTGAGCAATAATAACATGTGGTCTTGCTCTAGCTGTAGATCAAAATGAATCCTAATCTTTAAACAAGTAAATTTTAATTTTCTCAAATATTATGATATGCTTATTAAATTTGAATGAAATTTTTAACTTTATAGTATGTATTTGTGTGATATATGTATATATATATATATATATATATATATATATTATTTTTATTTTTTACTGCTGTGATTATAAGGGAAATGCATTCTCGTGTACAGAATGCTATAATGGTGTTAAAACTAAAGTTATATTGTTATTGTAATAAAAATATAATTTTATTATTATAGTAAAATTCATTGATATTTTTTATACTGTTAATTTTATTTCATAGAGTAACAAGATGTTGTGATCAATGCTGAAGAGTTGTTAAGCTACTTTTTAAAAACGGTTATTTTCATAGCCACATATTATTAAAAACATGTTAGCATATGAAATTTTATTCTACATTTGTGAAATTTTTTATACTCCGAAAATTAGGAATTTTTTACTCCTCATATCCTATCACTATTACTCTGCACATTTTATGTGAATAAAAATACGTTATTTTTCAAATATTTTGTACCAGTAGAAAGAGCATTAAAAAAGCCTTTGAAAACATATAAAAAACACATGTTGAAATTTTTACTTCATAAGATATAGGGCATTATGTACTTTACCTAATCGGGGGTCAATTGATGAAATTACCACTAGATAACCATTTTTTATAAATAACGTAGAATTAATATAATTGAGCTGGTACATATATTAAAATTCGCATTGTATAAAGATACAAACATTTTAATTTGTAAACCAAAATGATATTTACAGTTTGCAATATTTAATCTAAAAAAGAAAGGATCTTATGAAAATAATTAATTGACGGTGAAGTCAACTAACGTTGTAGATTAAACCGGAATTAATGGCATTTATTATCGAAAAAAAGAACCAACGAAGTTGTAAAAGAGTATAAACATCTTCTGTCCTTTTTTAATCATCGTAGACTCTAACAACGAAACCTTTCATATTATTTATTGTAAATATATCAGGTGAAGCTTCCAATGTACCAAAATATGATATTGCAGCTAGGGTTCCATCGTCAGCTTTGATAAATTCTTTCCACCGAAGCAATGAAAACTCGATTCGTGCATACTTTTGCTTTGGATGCGCAAATTTGTAAATTACAAATAATTTTTGAAACTTTTTTTTATCATGTTCACTTTTTTATCATGTTCCAACTAGGCTTCAAGCAACCTCTAATTTAGTTGGGAATTGACGCAAAAAAATATATATAAAGCAGCAAGAAAACCGTTAGGAAGATTTATGCTTTCGTTAAAAGGATTTTAACGAAAGCATAAATCTTCCTAACGGGGGAGAGTATAATTAATTTATTTAAATTTAGAAATGACTATTTTTTTTTTTTCCTTTTTTTTTTGAGGTTCTGCTCTTCTTCGTTATTTGTATTTAATTTATTTACTGTTGAAAAATGGTTCAAATTTAGTAAACTTTCATGACTTGAAATTTACTTTACTGATCATTAGCCAACACACTGTTGTAAAAAATGAAATATTACTTGATGTCATGACCCAGAAAAATCCTTTGGGGGTATGACTATACTATCATTGGTGGTTACTGGGATATAAGTCCCTAAATCTGGTTACACCGTTCGTGGAAGAAAATCTATTTTCTAATTTGCGTAAAACCGCATTAAAAACTGCAATAAATTTAACTCTAGAGCAATAAAACCTTATTTTTTATAACTTTTACTTTCATTCACTATATAAAATTTGATAGGTGGTGTTAAATAGAGCATCAGCTCAAGCAGTCGTGGCGCAGTGGTAGCGCACTTGCCTCAGAAACAAAGGATCCGTTGTTCAAACCCCATCTCTGAGAAAGTTTTGCGACATCGGTTAGGAAGGAGGCGTGAACTTTCAATCAAATGCTTATCCGCGGTGCTCTGTGATAAGACCGTAAGGACTTCTTGGGGCACCTAAATAAAATTAAAAGAAAAAAAAATTAGTTGTTTTCTTAGTAAGAAAATAAAAGAATGCTTGCATTTTTTTAGTTTAACAAAGAGTATACAAATTATCAGTATCAAAAAAATTTAAAAAAATCGAAATTGCTTTTTTAAAAACTATTAAAATAAAATTCTGGGAAAAACTTGAGCATTAGTTGTTTAATTCATTTTTTTCATACTAGTTTCAACTAACAAGAACACAAATCAGATGGATAAACTTGTCATTCACTGAAAAGACTTGCGAGTTCTTGAAACTAGAAACGTCTCCGATGACTACATTAGGAAGCTGGGAGTGGATCGTGGTGGTGGTTTTCTAAAAGTAAGCTTTGTAATCGTGGAAAAAGATCCAGCTTCTCAATCTTCACCATCAAAACGACTTCTCACCCAATCTCTGGCCATAGGTTCTGGTTTTAAGCGTCAGTTACTTATTGCCATTTCTGCAGATCTCCAGGAAAACTATAGCAATTTCAAGCAAGTTTTTAATCTGCTAAACCTTGAAGAACTTCCCTTAGCTTTTTCCTGTGATATAAAGCCGTCAAATGTCATTTGTGGTCTACAAGTACATTCTAGTGCACACCCATGCTCTTAGTGTGACATTTCAACAAAATATCTTGCAAAGGGAGGATCTCTAAGAACTTTTTGATCAATCAGAAGAGGTTATCAGGCATTGAATGTGGCTAATGCCAACATCAAGAAAGAAAGTTCTTTCTGCTATTGTTTTGCAGTGGAAGCTATTAAAGTTCCACCACTTATATGAAACCATCAGGTTGTAATAGTCTTAAGAGAAGGAAGAAATGTATTATATAAGTGCAAGGGAGTGCCAGATAAATTATAATATTTGGACAGGTGTCCAGTATTGAGAGGTGGTGTTTAAGAGGGGAGTATTGTTCAGTGATTAAGTTGGAGTTAAGTGAGTGTTGTTTAAGTTAGATATAAGTAAGTGTTGTGTTAATTATTGTGCTTTGAGTTTATAGTGTTCTAAATGTTAAAGTTTTATATGTCATTTAATGTCTATGTTTGTATGAATCTGTATATTCGTAAATACTTTGCTTTTTTAACCATAGCCATATTAAACATATATTATAGATGCGTATCATGGATGTCTCACGGATGGTATGGATTCTGTGGTCTGATGTGGTTCATGATCTGGTTCAAAATGGTAATATTGACATGGTTAGATAGAGTTGTTCGTGTTATGCTTAATTTTCATTTGGTCAATATGTTTTAATGCGGTTCTTTGTTTTATATTTATTTTAAGACTAACTTTTGTGTATTTAAATACAAATATATGGTGTAATTTTAAACTTAGTTTAATTTTTTGCGGTTATCAGTAAAATAATTCGTTTCAAATTTAGTTTCTACTTAGTTCAATTTATATGGTCTATTTAAGATACTAATATTATATAGTCAGTTTATATGCAAATTAATAAATACGTTTTATTTTAGTTATTCTTTTACTATTTAGTTTAAATTAATACGGCATACAATAAATATTCGTTTTATATTAAATTTATTTTATTCTAGTTGTACGGTTAAGTGATGGTACTCGTTTGGTTTTTAGTTTATTCTTATTTTACTTTTATACGGTTTATTGAAATTATTCGTTTTAGCTTTTGTTTATATTTAAATTACGCTTATATGGCGTGCTGCAGCTGTTCGTTTTATATTTAGCTCATATATAATTAAATTTAATTAACGTACTTTAAAGGAAATATTAGTCATTTTACATTTAATTTATTTTAGATGGTTTAATGGAAATATTCGTTTTTTATGTTTAATTTTTAATTAGTTTTAATTAATTTATACAGTACTGTCCGATTCTTTTAGTCTAAAATTAATTTGTATAAATTGAACGCTTGAGGCCCGTAATAAATTTGATACATGGGACGAGTAGGTATATTTTTTTCTTTAAGAAATTCATTCATCAAAAACAAATATTAAAGCAATTTTCTTTCCTATAAATAAGAATACGAAACATTACAAACTTTGATGAATAGAGCCCCTGTTTACCTAAGTTTTTAACTAAGCTATAGTAGTAAGCAATTAACAAAACTGGTCTTTAGTGATTGTGCTATCAAGAAATGCTTACTAGCTTTGCAAGTAATCTAAAGTGATCTTGCACAATAAATTACAAAACATACCTGTATGTACTACATTTAAATCATTTTCATTTATATCATCAAACAATTTTTTTAAATCATATTTTTACCATAAATTTAAAAAAAATATATTGTTGCCATGACAAACACAAATACACAAAAAGTTATGAACAATATCATCACAAGCCATGAAAGGCCAAGACAAATACAGTTACGCAAAAATAAAGTTAAACAAAAAATAATCACAAAAAAACGTTTAGTGGTGTACCAGAAAACAAAGTTATTCTTACCTTGTGTGAAATAAAATTTTACAACCTAAACTGTTGGCAAATGATCAATAAAGTAAATTTTATGTCATAAAAATTTACTAAATTTAAACCATATTTCAACAGAAGAGAAATTAAATGTAAATAATGAAGAAGGGCAGAACCTCAAGTACGAACTAAAAAAAAAGGTGAAAAAGAATATAACACAAAGACATTTTTAAATTTGAATAAAATATAATCCTTTTAATGAAACTATAAAATACCAGTTTATAAAAATAAAACAATAGAAATGACAAAAATAGAACTTGAAAGCATATATTGTATAAAGTTGAAGTTTAAACTTGAAAAAATATATAAATTAATATAATATTACTGTATCTTTAAATTAAAATTACTATATTTTGTACGATAACTATTCTAATTAAAGTAAGATTCACACTTGTCTTTTTCCAATGTTCCTAAATTAAAGAAATAATCCTACAAATTATATATCAAAAGCTCTAGAAATTTCAATTACAGTACAAAAAATATATAGCTACATAATAATAACAGTTATATCAATCCTATCATTATCATTCAACACTATTAACATACATCTCATATTGAATGATTTACTAGGGGGAGAGTATAATTCATATGCAACTTTAATGATTTACTAGGGGAGAGGTGATAATTCAGATG